CCCCAAAACCCCAAAACCCCAAAACCCCACTTATAAAATTTTAAATAATTCGAATTTAAAGTTTATATAAAATATGATATTTGAAATGTGTTTCTCATAACAGGCAACATAATGAAGTTTACCAATTAGAATAGTAAGTTCAAGTTTTGTTAGCCTTATCTTTCTCATTCGCTCTCTCAATTTCTTGATTGAGCTGATCAATGTCTTTGTCATCTGCCATGTCATTGCTATCATCTAAATCTCCAAACTAGCCATCCTTGAACATATCAATTAGTTAAAGCTTCACTATCTTTAGTAGCTTTTTCCTTTTAATGTCATCGAGACCATGATGGTTGGCAAATTCTGTGATATCCTCTTCGAATTTCTCCTCATTAAATATCTACAGTTTCGCAATACCACCATTATCTAGATTAACTTCAAGCTCAATAAGTGGAGCTGCCTCTAGATTTTCATCCTCCTCCTCTTCTTCTGCCTCACTGTCATACTCACTCAGCTCGGATTCTATATTAATGTTAACTAGTTAATGCTATTACCATCAGATTTTTCCTCAACTTCATATACCACGCCTTGGCTTAGATCAACATCATCATAATCGTTCTACTTTGACAAAAATTCCAGAGTTTTAGCTGATTTTTATGACTATCTGTCGTTGAACTAGCTATTCTTATCGCTGAACTGTGATTTGGGCTCAGGCTACTCTTATTGAGTCATATATCCTGAATTCTATCCTTTTGTCTTCTAAGTTGCTTTCTGTGCAATTTGATTCACCTTGTTAATCTACTAATTAGTAGCCTAAAGCTACAATTTTATTCTTTGCTATTCAAGTAGTAAGTTTTTTCTTTAGGCTTCCATCTTTTATTTTAACTCAAGTTCATTCTAGATTTACTATATATCTTCCTCATCTGAGAAAAAGTCGTCATTTGAAACAAACTTAGAGTTACCAAGAGAATCCTTTTTCTGGACTTTATCATTGGTGTTATTTCCACCTTTTTCTGGTTAATATTTTGCAATCTGCCTTTTTTGTGGTTGCTATCCAAGTTTTGAAGAGTTTAAGTCCTGTTTACTGGGGGATTTAATTATTTTGTTAATATCAGTTACTTAAGTTCTGCCGGTGTTAGTAGCCCCACCACCTACTTTATTTCTTAAATTTTAAGCAGCAACAGCACTTAGTTTGTTTACAGGCTGGCCTATTTATTTTTTACTGTTTTACTGGATGGATGTAGAAGTATCAAGGGCTGATGCAATTCTATTTGAAGTTTTTGCAGCATTATTCTTGATTTATTATCTAGCATCTATCGCATTTTATTTAATGCTTCCTCTTCTATCTGGTAGCTATTGCTAGATTTGCTAGGTACTCTTTTAAGGCTTAGTTTTTCTTTATGACATATCAAAAATCTTTTTATTTTCAAACAATGTCAGGAAAGTTTGATTAATAGCTTTTGCTTCTTCCTTGCTAGCAATATAGAATTTGCCATTGTAGAAAAATCCAAAATCTTTGTAAACTTTTTAGGATTCATCTACATTTACTGCAGAGAGAGTCATCCAATCAAAGAATATCTTATTGATAGAGAGAATCAAAATTTTGAAATCTCTAAGCGTGATTTCCTTATTTTAAGGATTTTCTGCTATATTACAAAGCTTGGAACAAGCAATTGATTCTTCAGTTTGAAAAGATCTAATATATCCCATTTTAAACATACTCATTGCTAATAAATATAAAGATAAAGATACTTACTGATTTATTCTCTAGTTACACTTTATTGTTCAGACTCCAAACCGACAGATGCTAAGTTATCATCAATTTGTTTCATGATTCTCTGCTTCATCAAAGCTTTATTCTTATTTTTATGCTAGTCATTAGAGTTTAGTTATATCTTAGGATCAACCCCTTCAATGTTATTTGAGTTTGTTCTACTATGTCTTCTATTCTATTAGTTTGTTTAATCCTCAGCTCCAATGTTATTAAGAAGAATTGAAGATCTTTTTGAGTTAGCAATTGCTGCTGAAGGCCTGTTTGAGTGATCAAAAGATTTTTCAAAGTCACTCTGCTAGCCAATGATCGATTTACGATTTGTATCTTTCTAAAAGCTCTATTTAAATTCATCGTTGTTATCTGATTCAAAACCACTTATTCTATTTTTGGCTCCACTGGTTGGATTTTTAAATTCAGCAAAAGTCCTCATAGATTTTGCAGCTGGAGTAGCAGCAGGTTTGTATGTCTTAGATTTGTCATCTATAATTGACTCTTAAATTTTGCTAGATAGCTATTTCTTGTTCAAACTTGGAGGATTCATCTGCTTCTAAGGTAGTTTTTTTGAATCGCTTGCCTGAATGTTACCTTAAGTTTCATTGTCTGAAATTAATACGGAGTTAGAAAGTTTTTATCCTTTTCCTGCGCCTGTCTTACTGAATAAAGCAGTAGTTTTAAAGGCATAAGCCTACTTAGAATCGTGGTCAGTAGCCACATTCTAAGTTTATAATTTCTTGTTTGTATTTACATTTCTACTTGTAGCAGTTCCTTTATTATTCTAGAGATTTGCTTTTAAGTTAATATTGTATATATCTTCTTTTTTTGATTAGGTCTTTTGCATAGGCAAGGATATATCAATATTATCTGCATCTTCAGTTTTTTCTTTTTCAAAGCTTTCTACTAATTCTCCATTCACTAACACTGAAGGTAGTTATAACTCACTTATTCTTGAGGTTTATCTCTTTTGAAAGAAAAGAGGATCTAGGAAATCCATCTTAGCATCACGCTCTTCTGAAGGTTCTGGCTGTAAATCCTCCAGAATTCTTTTGAAATCGCCCGTCTTCGACACATTTTGCTATTCTTGTCGAGGACTGTGCCTTGGAGAACGTTAAGGCTACTTTATCTAAATTCTGCTAGTAGATGTATCCAATTTAGCTTTAGATTTTGTGTTTTATGAGATAGAAGTATTGATCAAATCACTCTAATGAGGTGTAAATATTAATTAGATAATTTACCTTGGATCCACTGGAGCCATTAAATGATCTGTTCATATTTTAACTTGGACTTTTCACTCCTATTTCGATTATTTATTTGGAAAATTACTTGGAGATGGTTGTCGAAGTTTGGATTTGTTTGCTGCTGAATTTCGATCAGGATTAAGTCCATTCATTTTGCAATCAAATAATATAAAGATCAAGTTATGATTTATTATTATTATTATAACTTTGCGTTACTCTTAAAATTTTTTCTAACGGGGTTTTGGGGTTTTGGGGTTTTGGGG